CACACACACACACACACACACACACACACACACACACACACACACACTTTCTCCCCCCTCTTACACATTCACTTTACTAGGTGGGGCAGGCTGTGAAGGAAGTGAGTGCTCGACAGGAAATAAAAAGCAGGCCGAGAAGGCCAAACTAACTCTGGCCAAAAACAAAGGTTGGACCTGCTGACCTACTTGCTCTGTCTTAACATTGTGATTCAATGGTGCTTACCAGATCTCAGCCAGGACAGCAGCAGGCAGGCCAGACTGGAGGAAGAATTTCCTGGCTTGTTCTCCTGGAAACAGACAAAAATCACTAGAATTAAGAGAGACGGGCATTTGATGGAGCTTAAAAACCACTTCTGTTTGTTGTGACAACAGCCTACCAGAGACATAGCCGAGGACGGGGGCGAGGGTGTCAAACTGTTTGTCGTGTTTCCCCCTCTCCTCTGGAGTGATGGCCCACACACTGGCTCCGCCTGGACAAAAGCCAAGAGATGTTCTTTGAAATCTCAATGAAAACAGGATTTTGAGATGCCTCCTAAAGTTGGTGCGAATCTTCTTCAAACACAACATCTTTAATAAGCAATAACAGGGTAAAGGATCACTAAAAACTGTGAGCCACTGGTTGAGATGCATACCACATAACCGAAATGTCCACAGTTGGATTTTGGCCAGGGACCTTTGTTGCCTGTCATACCCCTCTGTCTCTTTCTCTCGCTAAGTTTCCTGTCTCTCACTGCACTTGCAAATATCATAAGGAAAAAATGCCTTATGGAGAAAAAGGGTTACATCAGGATATCTTAAAAACAGAAATGTCCACCTCACGGTGGAGTCAGAAGAAAAGTCAGGGGATCGCCAAAGTCAGTTGCTCTGATCCTCTGGAGACCATGATTGTGGGTAAAAAAATGCCACGGCATCGACCGACATTGCCATCCAAAGAGCTATGCCTCCAACACGAGTAAAAAGTAATACAAGCACTGCAAAAAGCTCAGACAGAGATGCAAACTAACAAATGCATACAGTATATACACCACACATTATCATTTCAATAGACTGTAATTCTACACTGCGTCAACAGCAGTCACTGGTGCGGCTATGTAAAAAGAGCTCAAATCCCAAAAGATCCTGCTTTATTATAATGCCAGCTACACTTTGGAGCCCCAAACTTTCCTAAATATGACAGCGCCAGTTCTTAGGAAGAAAGAGAAAGAGAAGAAAGCTATTTTAAACCCTTATGCGTGGGCTGCGCTCCACTCGTCAACACACACAAATGCAGCAACACGTTGAAAGTCCCCAAAGTGGAAATGATAATACCGAATTCAGTTTACAGTGTTTTTTAACTCCGCCACCCAAAAGTCTGCATAATTTCCATCCCAAATGAGACCCCCCCCTCAGATGAAACCACTCACCACCAACTCCCAACAATGATTAATGTGTAAAAATGTCCAGTCAGCTTTTTTTTCCCCACTTCGCTCCACTCATGCATTTCTCAAGGTAAGTTCAGGGTTGTCCATGAATTAAATATGAAGTCAAATGTGCTGTGTGAGGGGCTCGAAACTTAATTCTTACTTATTTTCCTAAGACGTCTTTAATTGAAGGGGGGGTGAGAGATTATCATCGGAGCTGATAATCAATTAATCATCAGGGAATCCACGAAATTAATCAAATCACGATCAGGGTACACTCAAAGTCTTTTCCCTTCGTTTCATTTTTCGTAACTTGGGAGCCCTGAGGCCATTTTTAATTAAAGGAGGGACTGTATGGACGTTGTACACAGCTGGATCTCCCCATATGGCAGTAATTGAAGGACAGAGATGCAGATAAGGAGACAATGACAGATAACGAGCCCAGACAGCGGAGATATAGAAGTAGAGTGACGGACGAGTTAATCAACTGTAACCTACATTCGATAGTTGCGATGTTACAGATGGAAAATAACTGGGTGGGGAAAAAAAGAACAAACTTCGTCTATGAGCTCCTTCTGTAGCTCAGTAAACAGCTCATTCTCTGCCCGACAGCGACAGACGGGCCTCGCTGGTGCCAGTCAACCCTCAAACGAAATGTTTAGACGGATTTCTTACAACAGTGAGTTTAGTGTGAAATGAAGACAACGTGTTGAGAGTTTGTCTTTTAAATGAATTCACCGCCTATCATTGTGAGCGCATCGTTGTAGAGCTGCAATGATTAATTGATCATTTGTCATCTTTTAAATTATTCGCCAAATGAGTAGAAGAAAAGTCAAAATCCAAGCAATTTGTCTTTCAAGCAATTTGATAATTGAGTCTTTTTAAGCAATTTGATAAAGAAAACTAAAATAACTTGCTTAAAGACGCTGAATTCAACCCCAAGTAAAAGAAAATCTAAATGTAATTGGAGGCCATGATTTAGATACTTGTCATAACAACTCATGGCAAGGCAACTCAAAAAGAAATGTTCGTGCAGTGTACACAAAGGTTAAATTAAACATAATATGCATTTCCACATATTGCTTTCCCTGCTTTCAATCAATGATTAAAAAAATGTAAAGGAAAGAAAAGATGAAACACTGGGTCAAAAGTATATAAATTCGAACTTTAAATTGACCGAATCTAAAGATGTTATTCGGCCTTGGGACATTGTTTTGTTAGATAATCTAAAATAATTAATCATGCGATTGCTTTTATTAATTTGCATGATAATCACATATTTCCGCTCGATAAGCGACATGCTTGAGAATGAAGTCAGTGCCTTCTGGGGGAAACCACATCACTGCTTCCGTAACTATTTACACATCAAACGCTTCGGATCGCTTCGATGGATGAACAGTCTGTGCACGCTGCAGCATGTCTGCAGACACTGTTGCATGCCGTGTCCACCTGTTTTGGAAATCGACTTACTAATGACTCTACAATTGGCTCATTACAGATTCACCCGTGTTCATGAGTGCGCAATGAAGCAAAGAGCTCGGCCTTCCCCGCTCGATGGAGAAGCTCATCACATACTGATGCTGTGAGTCGGAATTGCTCTCTCCTAGCATTTATTTACTGGATGGGATTGAAGCAGAGAGTGTAGTTGTTGGG